CACGAAAAGTCCGCGTCAAACTTCCTCTTCGCCGATTAAGCAAATTAAATTTTCTTTGGAGGGAGGCAGTCTTAGGAAGAAATTACTTACTGGTTCCATGATTTCTGTTTCAACTGTTTTACCATTTGAAATTATTATTGTATAAGAACTTAGTAGTTGTTAGCCCTTGAAGACTGTTCGCGCCTGCTTTAAATTCATCTCACTAATTAACTCAAGAACTTTGCAAGTGTTTCTTATTTTTGCAATTTCTACATTACCGCTCTCTCCCTAGCTGCTCCAATAAATTCCACTATATATACAGGTACTATGGCACCGACAGACGTCTCGGCCTCCCTTCTGGCGGCTACGTTCCGTATTTTCCAGCAATAACAGAAATAAAGCGAGCCTGCTGTACTACACTACTCATATTACTAATTGTTACCAGGGAATTTATGAGGGCATAACCTTACAAAAAACAGAGTACTGGGTTCATAAACAGAGGCCCGCCCCTTCTAATTCACTTCTGGGACATGACTGACAAAGCGTAATTATCTGGGAGGCTAATTTGGAATTGAAAGGACGTATGCAGTAATTATAATTGTTAATATCTGCTGCAGTAAACCTCGACTGCGTCCTACTACGTTTCACTGGCGCGACTGAATAAGCTGTCATAAAGTTGAATTAAAGATGCCTGGGGGACCGAATGATTTAGCTTGTAGCCCGTAAGGTAAAATTATATTTAAGATCTCTATACCAAATTGTTTAGTTTAATTATCGACACTGTCAACACCTCGGGCTACATTGCGTCAGGTAATATTATGATAATCAATTGAAAATGATTTGGAAGTATCCGGTTGTTTTTGGTAATTTAAGCTACTATCCCAGATTTTTCTGAAGTAACTGAAGAGTACGTAAGCACCTCTGAAACGTCTGAAAATTTCTACATGGCTATATATTCCAGATGATAGCCATCTTTAAAGCAAAGCTGTAGTTTTGAATATTTGAATGCAAACGTCTTTAGATAATAAGCGAATGGCAGACGATTCTGAACTTGTTGGTAGCAAGCATTCTTTGAATTTAGTCTTTTCTTAATTTCTTCGTGAATTAAATTATAATACAAATGACACGTAATTGATAATTATTAAATTTTATATAACACAGCCTATAATTGCATGATTTGTAAATGAAAGGAACCTCTACGGCCTGATTATTTACTTGGAGACACCGATGAAAACCATGAAACAATAGTAGGATAATTGAACCTGGGATCTCCCGAACAGGAAGTTACGGGTTACGTTTGGTGTAAAATCTTTATTCTAGAAATTTCTTTACAGTATTTTGCGACAGTACTTGCCGTTCTGTCACTGTCTAGACTCCTATGGAGCGAAGGGTCGGTTCAGTCAATTTTTATTTCTGACGAAAGAGGGTTTGTCCCTAATTTGTTTATTCTGCACCCATCATCCAGTGGAAATGAAAGATCCATGGTGACGTTTTAAAAATACAGTTCCGTCATATTGTCGTTAATCAGCGTTGGTCGAAGTAGCAACTGTTAACAAGTGTGTGCCGTGCGTCATCAATCACATAGGGTGCATAGCCAATGAAATGTGTGGCCGGCGGGGGAGGAGGGGACTTCGTGTTGAGCACAGCGGGAACTGACTGCTGGACACTCCAGTTCCAGAAAAACTTGACTCATTATTCAGCTCATTAGCCTAACTGAATGCAGATCATAATTTGATTAGTTAACATAGAATATGCTGTTGAATGATTTATGGTGTAATAACTGACACAAATGTGACGGACAGACAGACCGACGGGCATGAACTGGTCCGTGAGATACTCTTCGCTTACGCTAGAGTGTGAAGAATACCTTATACTCCTGTTATTAGTCGAAATATAACTTGCGAAGATGAATCAGCGTCGTTATATACTTGCCTAATTGTGGGAAGAGGGGCCTGAATAATTTATTCGTTTAAAGCTTTCACTGTTATGAGGGCAGTAAGAACCTCTGAAACGTCGGTAAACTTCTACCAGACTATTCGGCGCAACACCGAGAAGACTGGCATCTTCACTCTCGCTGCCGTGAGAACACGAAATCTCAAAAATGACTTAAGTTATTATGTTGGAAGTTTAGTTACCACTTGCTTCAACAATCAGTAATTCTGCATTCTGTATTTTTGTGTTTCGTATGATTCTCACTGTAAACAGCGTTAACTAATTAATCTTTGTAGTGGCGAAATGTTGTGTTTTCTTTCAGGTACGGCTTTAAACATTTCAAGACAGACAAAGCTAATATCGACAAATTTAATTTTTTGAAAAATTGGCTGGACTGAGATCGCTTTAGAAACGGAGAGCAACTTTTATCTCATTTGTCATTATTTTTGCATCTACCTGTACAAACTGTATTAGGAAGACGAGACCAGAACTTCGTAATTCCTTTCCACCGTATTCAAGATTCAATCCGAGATGTCTCTTAAATTTGTATCACTTACCAACATAGGCTTCTTAACACAGCCACCATCGTGAATTAAATCTTCCAATTAATGGCCTTACTCACTACTGTCCTGAGCTGTGGCATCGTGGCTTCCTCGGGAGTAACCCCCCCCTCCCCCTCTAAAGCTAAGATGTATCTTCATCTGCATGGGTGTGGTGTATAGCTGGCTCGAAGTGTGGTCCCTTCCCTCACACTTAGAATCTACCACGTGTCATTCCAATTAAAGGTAAACCTGAAATATAGTTGTTTACCGTTTGAATTAAACCACACCCTCCCATAGACTAGTACATCGCCCGTCATGAAATTAGCAGCAAAAATGGTGGGATCGTAGATTCGGGCTTGGACATTCAGCTCTATTCTTCTATACAAATTCAGAGGCAATGTGAGGGCTTGGAGGGGAAGGCATTAAAATACATCTTTTACCCACACGATTTGTTAGCAGTGGTAAAAGGATGTATATGTTACCGGAAATAAATATCCGCAATCCGTCTAATCGTGTTTGTTCTGGGTAAAATTACAAAATCCTGTCACTGTTATGAGGGCAGTGAGAACCTCTGAAACGTCGGTAAACTTCTACCAGACTATTCGGGGCAACACACAGAAGACTGCAATCTTCACACTAGCTGCCGTCAGAACATAAAAATCTCACTAATGAGTTTAGTTATTATGTTGCAAATTTAATTAGTTTCCGAATCAGATATATTTGTTATTCGCAGACTGTTGGCTACAAAACCATCTACAGCTGACCACGCCTTATTTTATATTTCTGTTCGTCTTACAAGTGTAAATCTGAATTATTATTGCAATAAATTTGTAACATATTCATGTTATAAATGTGCCACATTAGAAGGCCTTCGCAGTTGTAACCCCTGCCTCCTAAATATTCACCCACACAGTTGTTTCTTAGTTTGAAAACAATGTAATTTGCCCGCTGCTGCACTCTTTCGAAAACACGAACGAGGACAGTTCTTGAGTTGTGGTTATTTATTGAACCATTGTGTCCTCGCCCCTGTGAATTCTATTCTATTCAGTTAATGTATGAATTATTGATGTTGGTATGTTCCGATAAGAATAAATGGTAACATTAGCCCGACTTTGCGTTGTTGTCTAAGGACAATTTATTAACACTTCATAGCACTGGAGAGAAGTGATGAACTATTGAGTAGAGATGCCTTTTGATGCTACATTTCAAACATTTTGTTCACTTACAAAATAGCATTCAAGCACATTCCCATTTTACCTTCTTCTGCTCCTATATATTGTAAATATCTTGACGTGGTTGTCGTTTGATTGAATATTAAGAGAGAGTAACTACTCTATGATTAGGTTATAATTTGGCATAAGCACTCGTTTTAAGGCGTGAATCTTGGCCAAACGGAAACTAGGATTGTGGCATAAATCTGTCAGAGATTTCCTGTGTGAGGACGTATGAATCCGTCGATGCGTCTCGTATCTAAGGATTAGCAATTTCGGAATAATTTTTTAACTGCAACTGCCTACAATGTCTAGTTTGTAAGAAACTACACAAAGTAGACGAATTTTTACTTTTAAGACTTTTCGTTCATACGTAGATGTTCATGTTCTTATACAGTAAAATTAAAAATGTTTCTTTAGGTTCTCTGTATTACTATTATTTTTGTAACTGAGATATAAATTTGACATAAATACTAAAAGCTGAAATTCATTTCTCTCTCTGGATTCACGTTTAATGTCGGTAATTTTGATTATATCATACTACTTCCATCTTTTATAATCCAATCTGTACGTAGATAATTAAGTGGCTCAGGTAGGCAAGAGTTCACAAAGGAATTCAAGCCACTTAATAGTGAAAACTGATAGTTTCTATCTGGGTCTGGATCGAATTTATAAAAACTGGATCAAACAATACACGCAATATGGATGTCTTCTGGGTCATAGAGCCGTTCATTCTGGTAGACGTTCACTGCCGTGAAAATCTCAAATCATATCTAACGCACGCTAGATTAATTTAATTAATTCTGATTCAAACTTCATGTTGACAGACGTCAATAGATGTAGCTGTGTTTCTTAGCTTATATGTCAATTTAAAATTGATGTAAGATGGCCTAGAGTTATTTTCTATGTACAAGAGCTGTATACAAGGACAAGGTGTAAGGCAAAGCTGTGAGTTAATTGATTTAATTTTTTAATGTTTAAGTTTAAACTTTTATTGCGTTAAATTTCGTTTAGACATTTGCTCCTCCACAGTTTTTATTTTTGTATTTGTTTGAATACCCTTCTTCCTTCTTGTTTGAATTTCGTTTCGAGACATCATTGAGTCAATTACTTAAAGGAACCCTGCTCTGTGCATTTCGCTCTACATTTAACTTCCGCCCACTCCTCACTCATAGTAGATGCTTAGAATGTAGGAAAGACGCGAAAGGGGGGGAGGTGAAGGGGGTAATTTAGGAATCGCTGATGCAACGATTTCTGAGCAGTCAACAGATTTGTTCTATGGAGTGAGGAGAAGAGGTAAAATAGGGGAACCCATTACAGGATGAAGGTTAGGTTACAGCAGAAACTTATCTTCATTTTCTCCTTAGGCCCTGGACCTTAATCATTGTGGTTTCCCAGTTTACAAAATCTGCAGTTTCTATATTGTAACGGGAAAAGTTTTTACACATGGGTTTTCTTTGAGTGTCGATAAGCGTATTTTATCCTGGCATGGCTAATTGGACGGAAGGTACATTTGTGTGTGGAATAAAAAATGATGATCAGTAAGAATTTTGTATGAAAATTCCAAGGAGAAATATTGATTTCTGACTCATGACTTTTTATTTTCTGGGGAATTAACATGTTCTTGTTAAGAGGAAGTGCCGAACCTAATAATATTAAAAGCTATTAGTTATTACAATAATCTGAACGATATTATTTATTTAAAACTGCCTAAATAAAGTAATATTCTCTATGTCAATTTATATCTTGAATTTTGATGTGTTTACTCTAGTCCTGAAGACGGTTGTCCGAAAAGTTGGTATCTACCTCAAGCCAACACGGAGTTGAAACCAGAAGACCAACGTTGGTATGCTGTAATTTATTTTATCTATCACATTCCTGTTAGTTAAGCTCTGGAAATCAAGATACCATGACAGA